CATGCAACAGGCGTCTTAAACTTTCATGAATATTCAGTTGTCATTTGTCATATAGCACAACCTGTAAATACGTTAATTCTATCCTTTCAAATGCAGATAGCATTAACAACCCAACTAAGCTTTGCAATCGGGAGATGACACCTTCGGTGTTCACTGAACATAAACTGCCCAATTTCAGTCAAGCAGGGCGATATTTACTACGGGTGAAATTTGACCTGTCACTTCATGATGAGTCAGGCAGTGTCAAAAATGGCATTTCGGATTTGGAAAGGTTTTTTTACCCGCATCCACGTTGCGGGCTGTGTAAAACCGGTGGATGTACCTATCCTCCAGCAGGGAATATCACTCACAACCACACAAATCGTCCATGAGTATAATCACGTTGAAATGAGGTTCCCAACGTAACGACATTTGCACTGGTTGCGGACGCCTTGACTAGACTTTGCGCCAAGTGGCGGGACTTCTAGGAGTACATGAAATTACCCCCACTTTCCACGAAAATTTTGTCTCTCCTAGGGTAATGTACCTAACAAAACTGACTGGTGGGACTGGTGTGTAATTCTGCTCTGCGTCTTCCCCAATAGATCCTCATTCCAATGCAATCCATTCTGAAAAAGGAAGAGGATTAACAAAGGGGACCAGTTATTCTAATTTCATTTAAGGAATTACTTGTTATTTAGTAGATAGCACAAGTGGTTGTTGGAATAATTCACTTCTTTTTAATGGAGATATAATTTTTAAGACTCGAATTATTGAATCAGTCTGACAGAGAACTATTCCTTCTTTCAGCCTTTCGGCCTATCGGTATTTATTACTTGATTTTATTTCCAAAAAATTGATTCAACTTGTGCATTGCTTCCTACATGAATTCTTCTTTAATGCATTTTGGCCCAAAGGGGAACTGTAGAATCCCAATCAAATCTGTGTCATTGACAACAGCTGATCATATGAGTTGCACTTCTTCTCCTACGCGAATTTATCACTCGAGATGTTCCCGGAGCGGATGAGGTACCGTGGAGAGTGCAAGAAATTTTATTCAGACAAAGAAGAGGGAGGCCGTTTAGTAAGACTACCGATACAGGAACATTCGCCTTCTTCAGATTTCACGGTTCAGTCATAGCGCCTCGTGCATGTGCATGGCCCTTTACTTAACCTCTCTGTAGGCCTATAACCACCCTTCGTTCATATCAATCCTCTGGAAGGTCCCACTGTGCATTCAGGGAGAACTGGAGGGAGTGGAGCAAGTCGTTAAATTACTAGCTATTGTGAAGGTAATGGTATAAAAGTGGAAATGTATGCTGGATTGATAATGAAAACGCACTAATTCTCACATAAGAAGTGTGTAGTCGCTTCCGTAATTGCCATTCCGCTACGAACTCGAAATTCACTAGGTCGAGCTAATTACACCACATCTGTTGACAGCGGATCCTCATGCATGAAATCCTCCCAAGTGGCATTGGGAACTATGGAGTGGTCATGTAAGGGAGGATCATTTGCCTAAAATTTCTTTTTGTATGGGCTATTAGCTTTGGAAAAGACGACATTTCTTGACAAAGCAAAAATCTAAATTGTGAACATTAATTTAATTCGTGTATTTAATAGTAATGTTGATTCGACGTGGCATTGTTAACAGTGGACCATGTTCCTTCTACTGATGGACTGATGAAATGAGGTTACCAGGTCAGGTCATTCCTGTTTGCAGATTCAGCAAATGCTGACATCAGGAACATGTCGAATGATTTGACCCATCTAATCGGATGAAATGCAAGTGAAACGGATTTCTGGATCAAGGTTTATAGTTATCGTTTACTACTTGTATGTAATGCTTTGGCTGTTCACTTAACTCTCGATTTAGGTAAAGAGCCACCTTGTGACTTAACCATTATTTCTTCGCCAGGTGGGCCGGCCTTTGGGTCATGCAAGTAGCCCCAACCCCTGTTGTATGCTGGATATAAACATACTCTCCCCTGGCTGCATATTATGCTAATATATTTTTATTCATTCTTGGACTTATTTTTACCTCATTATTTAGGCTGATTTTTAAGTTATCTGAAAAGAAAATAATCATTTTAATCGCAAAAATGTCACAGAGTAGTCGTACCCCTAGTACTTACTGAAGTAGGTAAAAGCCCAAGTAGTATGGTAAACTATACATCAATAAATTAGGGGAGGGTTAAAGAGCTGCCGTAATGCATTCTCCTTGGTGGCATGGCCTTCGGGGCAAGTCATTTGCTCCCCAGGCCTTCTGTCTTTCGATTGTGCCTTCTAACGATTTAAGCTAAGACTCGGAAAGCTTGGAGTACTAGCATCATTCGAAGACCATATCACAGAAGAAGGGTGCAACCGGCAGTAGCTAGAGTGCCCGCGTAACTAAATACAACATCATTTCACAACAAAAGCATCGAATATAAGCGAAATAGGGGGAGCTGAGTTACAGATGAAACACAACCACAAGCTCAAATTCTAGTTCAGTGAATATACTTTTCAAATCACGATGATCATTTCAAAGTAAATTTTATCAAAATACACCAGAGCTAGTAAAGTATGCTCTAATTTTCATTAGGATATCTACTATTTATGCACTTCACACTTGAACCCAACAAATACAGCCTTACAAAAGGTTATTACCTTAAATTTACTGACAATTTAAAAGTTTCAAACACATTAGAAGTATCAAATGAACAAGCTTTTTACAGAAAGTTGTTATATTTGATTTGACATTTTGTTTATATTTAGAAAAGGAAGAGCGGTTCTAGCAAGGATACGATCTCAACGAATCAGATGAGGGTGGTGCACATTCATGCGATTGTGCTTTGATTTTATCTGCTCTTGGTATTACTAAACCGGCTTCCGATGAATATTCCCGATCAGATTGTCAAAGTTCCTGAGGACTATGAGTCTGTAAAGGTTGTGAAAGTTAAGGTCAAGAAGCGTCAAGCCGTAACTCCCTCCACCATAGTATGCACATTGGAAGCGCCTGGACATCCCGAAATGAGTATAAATGGCCCAGGCTATGGCAAGGTGACAATGCTTTGTCAGGAGGGCTGTACACTTGGGCCTAAGTTTGTCCATTTACCACTTCACTAACATCAATTTCAGCCAGCCCTTGTTTAAGTACGAAGGATGTGGGCATCACGTAGTAATGCGAGACTTGTGCGCAGAATGTGGTGCGAATTTGAGAAAGTTAGTAACATTGTAATTTTTGAGTTTAAACAAATTAGAGAAGGAGGTGTTTGCGGTGAGAGAATCTCTGCAGCATCTGCAAGCATCCCCATGGTGCACATGATTCCCGATCTGCACGTCAGTGAGTCAGTATGTTGCCATTTCCCTACTTCTACTCAAACAAATACTAGGTTGCTGCCGAAATTGCTCTTAAAGACGAGGAATCCCTTCTGACTGCGCGGAAACTTGCCCTACTTATTGACTTGGACCAAACAGTTCTTCATACAACTACCACCCCTCATGCCTTCCGCTATAAGGTAAATTTTCCACCAATTAGCGACGGAAATTGTTGCTCATTTTAAAAACCAATAGCAGTTTTCGTTTGGTCTATTAATTAACGTGCCAATAGAGTTAGCTAGAAACGTTATCTGCGGGCCTACTAAGATGCTACCTTAATTGCATTTTTTCCCCGCAAGTAAAACTAAATTTCCTAATTATGACCCTTATTTTTAGCCACAACTAAAATAGGCAAATACATCGCATTAACGAGGTGAAATACGCTCTAACGCATTATTTCCTTCAAATTCAAGATTGGGTTTTTAAGTGCTAGGCCCAATCACCATCTCCAAAGTGATTTCAGTGTCATTGACACTTCATGCTAATTTTAGCTTAAGGTTACTTGTGCGAAGTTTTTGAATTGCTGTGTGATTGCACCCACTTTTATTTTCGGCCTAATTTAAAGCGATGAAACTCGGCTCTGGCTGGAGTCGCATTTCAAAAGTTCATTTTTCATGTTCGTCCGGATCATAGGAATGCACACTTGCTTAATTCTCATGGAGTTCATCGCGAAAGATTTCATAGGCCGTTCTTTTGAACCCTTTCGATTTCAGAAGCACCGTTTCGTGTGGACTAGACGATCTTTAATAACTTTACTGAGTGCACCACTTTTGAACGTCCTGCCACCGTTTCACATCCTTTCCAGGGTGGTCCGATTTGAAATTAGGTAAAAAGCGGACATTCAAACTGAGCAACAATATGGAATTGCGATTTGTTCGGTTGAAACCGACTGAATTATGCAAGGAAACGTTATTAAGACGCAGAGTATGCGAGTTAGGTAGGGTTACCGTGCCTTTTGCCTCTTCTCGGAACTTTGTAGAAGGAGAGTGGTACGATGTAGGAAAGAGACGTACACCCGATTTGCCATGAAAATGGCTCTCCAAACGCATCTAAATCATTCTCACAATCTAGGCTTCTATTCAAATGAGAGATAGGGTCTCGAATTCCGCCTTTACAACACATTGCCTCTCGAAGTGAAGAAACGGCTCTACTCATCTCTGTTTTTAGCTTCCCTTTGTGTTTCGACCACTATTCCCTTTCGGATTTGCTTACCCAATGTCACGGAAGGATAATAATCATTACTTGCAGCAATGAGGATGGGGCATCATCTCCCATCCTGGGTGCTAAGTTTGGAATAGCGCCATAATTCTTTATTAGTATCAAGGTTAGAGTTTTTTGGGATGCAATGCACCTAATTCTGAGTGGCGCTTTACTAGAATCAAATAGCAGATTTGCATCATTTCTGATCGGGGCATTCTATTACCACGCTTTCTGCACATGATCCATAACAAGCTTCTTTAACCTCAGAACCGAGGTTAACTCGGTTTACAAAGCGGGCAAGCTTGGATCACATTGATTAAGTCCAATTTGCATTTAAGTCAGGTGGCAGACGGTAGAGCAAGGGTAGGCACCTTTTTAGAGTAGATATAAGGGATACATTAAACTGTTTTGAAATCATATAGTTCGGATGAATTTCGCGTATTTTGGACGATATTGTATATTTACTCGTTTATGCAACATTTACTGCTTAAATTAATGAAGTAGACCTTGTCTATTAACCCTTGAAAGACCTGGCGATTTTGAATGGTAGAATGTGCACCGATTCAACCTGGCTGGCTGCGAAATGATGTACCACACTCGATTCCGACCTCACTTGGGAAAGTTTTTGCGTCGCATGGTAAAGCGATTTCAGATGCACATTTGCACCTTCGGCAATCGCGCCTACGCTCACCAGCTGGCCAGTATTCTCGACCCCAAACGCAAGTACTTCTGTCAGCGTATCCTCTCCCGTGACGAGTGCTTCAATCCTGTCACTAAATCTGCTAATCTCAGGCATGCGTTTTCTATTAAGTCGCCATTGCTCGTTTCAATCTCCCTTAAAATTGAGTCTTTTTTTTCGTTCCAGGGCATTATTTCCCAGAGGTGTTCACCTAGTCTGCATAATCGATGATCGAGGTGATGTTTGGGATTGGTCACCTAACCTAATCCAAGTTCAGCCTTACAGGTGCGTCAGTTTTACTTTCTGAACCCTGCGTAGTAGCATATTCTCCTATGTAAACTAACTGGTCCCCAACGCTACAGCCAATAGCACTTGTGGGCACGCTTGGTTGGTTGGAGAACCCGGCCAATAGAATGATTCCTGAAATTTGAATTTCCTCAATCGGTCTGGAGGTTAAACGATTTTGTTCCTGCTTTTGCTAGATTCTTCCCTGAGGTGGGAGATATCAATGGGCCACCAGGACGGCCACTTTCTATGATGCCAATGCCTGATTTCCGCGCCTTTAATCCTCCTTCGCCTACGGGGACTTCAACTTCGACGGACACTTCAAACTCCTCAGATGAGGAAGGGCCATCTTCATCAAATATGTGAGCTGCCCTTTCATGCTTTGAAGTTACCATACAGTTATGCCATTTTCTACTGTACTTATTGCTACTCGGAAGCCCAATAAGTAATTAAACATCTAAATCCTTCGATAACTTTTCTCCACTTCTTGCACGACGCACGCATTGTTAAACTGTCTACGTTGACTTTCGCTTGGTTATTTCATCAGGATTTTATCTGCAGCAATGAAGAAAGTTTCTTTCGGATGGTTTTTATTGATGGCTTTAGCGCTTAGCTACCACGGAAGGAATCTGTTTCTTTTTGAGGTATGAGGCTTAATTGGTCCTTTTTTGTCTTGTGGAGACAAAATAGACTTCAAGACATGCTACTTTGTTGATTCTAGTAGTATGTTTTTATACACATTTTAGGGCCAAATAAGTTATAAAAAATGGAAAAAATAGGAAATTGGTTTGGATTATGGGGCTTTTAGGACAAAATTCACAATTTTTTTTGTTTTTTAATGAAAAAATAGCCATTTATTGGATTGTATTGTTACCAGTAGGGGGTGATTAGTTGCTTCTAAGACCCACTTGACATGTGAACACGTCTGTGTAGTGGTTTGAATCTTTGTTTCAATGAATCTTCACTATTGTAGGGACTATTAACACATTCACTACTAGGATCTTGGAGGAAAACCGACCACTGCTCATATACTTTCCAAATGTGGCACTGTTAGTCAAAAAAGTAGATGTAAAGTCATTCTCACACCAGGAACGTCTTGTATCTATTTTATTGTCTTAAGGTCAACAAATTTGTCTGTGCTCCGATTTGGTGTGACCAGCCAAGCTCAGGTGAGAACATCGGTGGGTCATGTGTGACGTTGGTAGGTAACGTGCCAATGCGTGAAAGGGCCTAGATACTAGGCCGATCGGGCTACTATTAGCAAGGAGGAACACTAATAAAATACAGATTTGGAAATCCTACATAACTGCTCAGAAGCTGAAGACTTCTTGCATATCTTTATTGTCAATCTGCTTGTACAAAAGTTGTTTTTTGGAATGTGTGTTAACATACTGTTCAGTTGGGCATCTTTCCTTACTATCTCTTAAATTGAGACTGTTTTTTTGCTTAGACCTAAACTCGGCGCTCTTGGAATCGATCTGAAACCAGCTGATAAAACCATTGAAACGTCCTTGGATCATCCAACCTCTCCATCAAAAAATGTAGAAGAAATGGTACCATCAGGGTCTTTGCCGGAACCATCAAAATCAACGGAAAAGTCCCCAGCCTTCATGGGACAATGTGCACCTTTGAAATTGGTGGAATCAAAGGAGTTGTCTGAATCCCCGAAGTGCACCGACTACGAAGCTGAGACGAAATCCCCAACAGAGTTCTCCAAGTCCGTTGAAGAAGAAGTCAGGTTGAAGCCTCTAGCGGAAAATGCACTGATAAAGGATAAAGCGGAAGTGGTGGAAGAAGTACTGGACTATCCACCATTGTGCGAGTCTCCACCTCCACCACCACTGTCCCCAATCCAATCGATCTTCGAGATGAATGAGGAGGCCCTGGATGCTTTTGACTCGGACTATCTACTTAGACTGGAGGAGATACTGACCGAGATTCATCGGCGTTATTACCGCGCGTATGACAAGTACATGGCAGAGGTGAAACAACGCAAGGCACACAACATACCGGTGGAGGAAGGCTCTAGGTGGGACGGCCAATTTTCCGTCTATTCGCTGTTTATTTACAATTTTACAGTCAGCTTTGTTCCCATTAATTGATGAAATAGAATGTGTCTGGAGGGTGCACGGGGGAATGAGCAGATTGCATCCCTGTTTACGATTTAAGTGAATATAACTCTGTTGCAAGATCCCGTTTTGGCCCTTCCCCTTGTCACTCTTCCATATCGGCACTAAGAGGATAGTTAAGTGAATTGAAACTAAGCCGCCGATGAATGCAGCGCAGCCTGAAAACTTTCCAATTCAATGATCGTTTCGCATCTCGTAGATTTAGATAAGTCCATCAGTTTGTGAGGGCTAATTTCCCTAGCCTTCCCAAACGCTGAACCCTGTTCTACAGAGAACACATTTTGTATGTCTGCCGCTTTTTTGCATGATTAATAGTCCAAAACCAAATCTAAATAGTCTTCCTCATATTTCGCTTAAATATAATTATGCTAAAACAAGTATTTTATCACTACATTTCGATTTAAGCTTAAGATATTCCTCTGTTATGCGTCTCTGTGTGTTCAATTTTCTGCCATAGATGCCCTCCTTCGACGGTGACGAGTCGATGCATTTGAACGAAACCTCTGAGGTGTGAATAAAAGCCGTCATTTCTGTTTTATCAGAATAGAGATGTTCGGGACATCTCGCTCCCGCGTCATCCCCGAGGGCATTATGCGGGTGATGGTGTTGAAGCAGACTGGATTAGCGCCATCTTACTGTAAAATCAAGGGTACCTGAAGAAGAATGCCCAAGGGAATGATGTGTACTCTCACATTCAGCATTTCATGAGAGGCTGGGGTACTTCAACCGCGTTCAAAAAGGCCTGAATTTCGAACTTTAGTATAAAAACACAGAAGGATCATGAGATTGCTAACGTAGGTGGGATAAGCAAAGCCCCATTCTACTTTCGCATCATTCAAATAATGCGTAACTCAAAACCGAGGCTGTTATATATGGTGCCAAATTCACTGAATCCTAGGTCAATTACAAACGAAACGCGTCTCTCAAAAGTTCTTTAAAATATATTCATCTCTACACCAGACTTTCAGGTATTCCCCACGTGGCCAACGTGATGTCACAGATGCGAGCCCGGGTGCTAGGCCCCAACACTCACATCACACTCTCGGGACTGACACCGCGCAACCGACCAGCGCGCGACTCCCTTGCCGGTCAGATTGCCCTCGGCCTAGGTGCTACGCTGCACAACCGTCTGCGTTTGCCCAAACAACCGCTGGTTGCGCATAGTAGGGCCGCCGGGTTAGTTTGCTGGCTCTTTCGATCGTTTTCTGTGATTGGTGGCTGAGGCTATTCTACTATATTGCGGGATACCTCTCTTTTGTTTGGCACTCTTTGGCTGCTTCATTTGTCTCCAACCCGTCTTAGATATGGAAGAGGGTGACGTGATTTTGCACTCTAGTCTACCGAAGTGTTACATCTCTCCGCTAGGCATTTGTAGCATCCGGAGACGTCAGTTTTCTGGAAACTCTTAATTACCGAATTCATCTTTGGAGGTTTAGGATGAAATGTCGACGCGTGTTAAGGGGAATAACGGTCCTTTAGCGGCTTTCAATCTTGTAAAATACTTCTTCGCTAGTTTAAACTCTTGATTTTGGCTACTTCTATTAAGTGGAAGACTGGACAGAGAAAAAGGGGTAAGGTTTTATTTTAACAGCAAATTTTGTGGATCATTCATTTTGGGAGTTTTTAACATTCATTAATCTTCTCGAAAAAAATTGAATTCATTTAACACACTTGGAACGTCTTAATTTTAGAAGAAAAGAAATGTGCGATAGTTTAATGCGACCTCCAGCATTCACCACTTGTGTGCCACAGAACCTCTCCATCACCCCTACATTCATACACACCAGTCAGACGCCCTCTGAAGAAACCCCCATGCTCAATCCAGCACAGACGGATTCACAAATTCTCCTAGGCATCTGTGATTGCCTCAGATTGTCATCCCCACCGATTAAGTGTGAAACACACCTACAGGTTTATGCATGAAAGGAGATAATCGTGTGCTCCCTTCACACCTCGCCTTCGTGTCGGCACACACCTTCCACGCTTTCTCAGAAGACACATCTTACATGAACTGGATCCCTTCCACTTCATCAAATAACACAATATGTGGACGAAGCCAGTGATGTTGTTTGCTTACTACACTTGTACTCCGATAAAGCAGGATCGCCTTCATCTTCGGTTAAACTAACTAACCCATTATCTAATCAGGCCCCACTTTTCCAGATGCTGAGTTGCATAAGGATAGCAATGACAGGGACGTGCGTCCCTTCCGTATGTCCGTTGGCGCTTCGACGCGACACGGGTGGCTTGCCTCCCACGCAACGGAATGGATAACAGGAGAGAGAACGGAACAGACGAAATAGGTAGGATGACCACATTGCCTAGCAGAAGTCGGAGCAGGTGAAATGGAGTCAGCAAATTGAAACAGAGGATGAAAAATGAGTTGGGAGATTTCAACTTGATCTCAGATCGTCAATAACGGGTCCTTATGGATAATTGCAAAGGACTTCAAGGGGAAAAAGGAAGGCCACTGAAACATCGAGATCGAGGGGGCCAGAAATGCCAGTGACAATTTCACCAATGCCCCAAATAGATGGTGAGATCTCACCGCAAAATCCACAAATGCGTGTGCTTATTGTCAGAAGGAGGCACAGTGCAGTGCGTAGACCTATCACGCATAGCCTTCGTGCGTTCGTTCTCGTCGATGGCCTCGTCGTGTGTCTACTGCATCACGCATACCGTCTCACAACAGGTGTCATTGAGGCAGGGCTAAAAGTGCGCACTTCTACCACTTGTCCATTTTCCGTTTGGATGTAGTCCTGTGTTTTCTGTTCCAGGGACGAGTTCCTTCAGATAGCATATTCTTGAGAAAGTTACTTGCACACCACTTCGTTGCACCCAGTCACATCTACCCGTGTGGGAGCCACTTTTCCAGTGCTAAAAACATTCTTTTTCTGGTTGAACGTGGACATATTCAATGAGCCGGAATCCACTCTGCAGCACGAAATCCACATGCAGTAGTACGAAGGTGAACCATTTGGACATCTGTCAAGTATTGTATAGAATGGTGGATTCTTCCGCAAGCGTAGTTTGAAGAACGGAAACAGATGGGAACCAAGCGTGTACCTCCTGCTGACATCATCCATGAGAAAGCTTTCTAACTGCTATTCGGTTACGTTGTTTAGAGGTTTACTGAAAATGGAAGATATATGATGAAAGGAGGGAGGATGGAAGCTTTGAGATAAGTGGCTGGCCTTCGGGGTTATTGAACTCAGGAGAGGACCCCAAACCACCTGAGTAAGATACAAACCATACGAAAACAACCTTGAATGCCATAAATCTAATCAATTTTGCAAATATTATTTTTTTCCTCGTTTTACGCTTTTTTAACATTTGCGTCTAAGCGTTTTGAAATAATGTAGGAGAAGGGAAGAGGGTTGGTTTTCCATAAAGCGTTGCTTTTACCAATCTTAATGTTTCCTTCGTTTTCTTACTTTCCTCTTGCTAGTCATCGAGCCTTCACTACCCACCTCGTGGCATGTCGTCAGAACACGGAGAAGGTGATGGCAGCTCGGAATTTCCAAGCACAGTGTGCCACCAATCCTTCCCAACCGCCATTAATCCACATTGTCTCACCTCGTTGGCTGTGGGCCTCGCATTTTCGCTGGCAGCGGTTGCCCGAATCGCAGTTCCCACTGGATCATGAATACAGTGTTCACGCCTTTGATCCAGATGCCAATTCACCTACCGCATTCCATGGCAGGTCACGACATCGTCATCATCAACATCACCGCCGACGACATCATCAATATCGACTTCCATTGCAGCATCATCATCCATTCATGAGGGATGACACGGAGGCGGTGATGGAGGTTGCAAAGTGAGCTATGCATTTTTCTTTCATTATACCCAATCCCGGTGAATCCAATCGAACAGCAGAGTAGATTTCGCATAAATAATGCCCTTGGTAGCCATTTCAGCTATTTGAACCGTTGATTGTAGAAAAGGATATGGTTTAAACAGATGTCTTCATTCTCTTATTCTACGACTGTTCCCCTCATTGATATCATAATTTATCCAGTTATGCCATCACAGAAGAGAACACCTTCCGTTTTCCATGTCATATCATACTAGAGCATAAGCAAGTTTTCCTTCTGTCAATTTATTGTCACTTGATTCATGCGAAAGCGAAAGTCAAGGCTCTCGTTCTCGATCACACCAATGCAATGGTGTTTTGGTCAAAGGGATCGCCTTTGTAATCTATACTGATTTTGTGCTTGGGGGTGGACTCCTACTCGCTCAGTGTCTCAATAAGGCAGTTTACTTTCCATTGCTCTATTTCCATCTCCCTCTCCCAACCGTATACTCGGCCGACGTGACCGACTGCTGGAGGTCGGTCTGCCTTGTGAAGCCTCAGTCAGCTCTCACCAGTAGTGGCTGTGTTTTGTCTTTCAGACGCGGGCTTCAGTTTTCTCTCCAATGTTTGTAGAAGAAAATGCCTTTTTAATTATATGATATGTTAGCGAAGAGAGTTCGTCTTAATTTTGCAAAAAGTTCAACGATCGGTTTCTCTTCTCTTTGAAAAGAGAAGATGAAAAAACAGGTTGAAGAGGCGCCTTGCAGTTGTTCACCAAGTTTGTAACAATTCATCACTGAAATAGGATTGCAGCAAAGGCAACTTTTTTGAAGATGGGTGAATAACACCTTACCCTAGAATGTTCTTTGCTTTAAAAGGCACACTCAATTATCTTTGAGTGGCGGGCCCGTCAACTGAGGACATGTTTACAGTATGTGCGTGTGTGTGTGTGTGTGAACATTTACCTCGATGCCAAAATGCAAAGTAGGCGGCTCCAAACAGCGCATAAATTGATGGTAGATTGAGAAACGCGTGAGGGAGATGTGTGTGATTAGAGGTGACATCAAAAATACCTATAGTGGTTCCACTTAACTCAAATGACTCACTTTAAGAAGCCGTTTAACTTCGTGGCTCAAGTGACCATCAAAACAGGCCTCTTTAGAATCTACACTGGCAAGACGTTTGCAGAATCGAAATGCTTTCCGAAGACGTCATTTTCTGACATTCTACATAATTATCTGCTTGAAGGAGATATTGAACCTCCATTCTCTGACCCTTGCCGGCTCATCTTTCGTGGAAGGATTAAACGACATTTTACTACTGCTTTTTGGCGCAATGATAATGGAATGGGGTCTTTTCGAGTGCGGACAGTCGCGTCGAAGTGCCAACGGACATACGGAAGGGACGCACGTCCCTGTCATTGCTATCCTTATGCAACTCAGCATCTGGAAAAGTGGGGCCTGATTAGATAATGGGTTAGTTAGTTTAACCGAAGATGAAGGCGATCCTGCTTTATCGGAGTACAAGTGTAGTAAGCAAACAACATCACTGGCTTCGTCCACATATTGTGTTATTTGATGAAGTGGAAGGGATCCAGTTCATGTAAGATGTGTCTTCTGAGAAAGCGTGGAAGGTGTGTGCCGACACGAAGGCGAGGTGTGAAGGGAGCACACGATTATCTCCTTTCATGCATAAACCTGTAGGTGTGTTTCACACTTAATCGGTGGGGATGACAATCTGAGGCAATCACAGATGCCTAGGAGAATTTGTAAATCCGTCTTTATGGTGAATGTTGGAGGTCGCATTAAACTATCCCATAGTTCCTTCTTCAGGTTTTTTATCTAACTACAGGGGAAGTGATGTCACCCCTCCTTCATTTTTTGAAATACTTCTCTCCAATCTTCGTAAAAAACCTAAATGAACAAGCAACTTATTTCTAAGTTTAGTCACTAACGCGGGGGCCCTCGCGCCTCTCATGTTGTGGTTGTTGTTGCGAGTCATTGCACTTTACCGTTTATGGCTGTCACTATGTTGAATAGCCTTTTCGGGGTGCAGATGGATCGTCTAATTATCGAGGGAATCGATGTCATATATCGTTGGAGTCCCATTTTCGGCCGAAGACTTCAATTCGGAAATGAGTTGACTTGGTACCATTGCAGGGAACATGGTAAAGTAGTTGAAATTCTTACTTAGCGGGAATTGCTGCGGATTAGCGAGAGGAGTGGTGGCTAATCTTGCTGGAGTGCATCATGTAACCAACCGACATTTGTTGGCTTACTGTTAGTTGTTGTCCTGCATGAAGGCTACTGCGAAATATGTAAATTGCCAGCGTGGGAGGCAAATGCATGTTTTTCCGCTGCACAAGTTAATCCCAGTATAGAGTTGCAGTTGACTTCCAAGTTCTAAAACAACTCTTTGTCGGGCACGTCTCTAACTCTTTTCAAAAAAACAATCAGTTTGCTACTCATAGGCAGTTGACTAGAGTGTTTCTTCTTCTGCCGTCGTCTCTTACAGAAGTGGTTTTGGTTACAGCCTACTTGATGTCGGAAGCGCTCTGTATCCATCACATCATTTGTGACCATTGTTGAATTTCCTGATCCACTCATAAGCGATGAGTGGGAGCGAGAAATATTCATCAACTTACTAAGATGAATTGCTTCCAGTATATGCCATCTACCTGCACTATTCAGCCCGATAGACACAGCTCCTATTTGGTGGGATTAAGTAATAAGTTTTGCTGGCACCTTTAGCTCTGAGCGACAGCACTCCTATACTCAACTGCAAGAGCAATTAGACGAGAATTGAAAACTCTGCTGCGCTCTTCCTTTTAATGTTTTTGTTCCTTTAAGCCTTTTCTAATGTAATCTCAGGAAATGTGACGCTTCTGGAATTCATTTTGTGATCAAGGGGGAAAATGCTTTTCTTTCATCATCATCCTGTTAAGATCTCTCCCAGATTCAACAGCCCATGTATTTACTGACCTATCTCCTCACCGAAGTGGTGCAAACATCAAACATATTTGAGTTTTTAACAAAAATATGAAAATGCGTGCCACCCTAAAAAATATGCTTAAGTTTGTCTGTCATTCCAATGTGGTACAGGCTTTGAAACGCTAGGAGACCGAACAGCACTACGCCTTGGGCGGCTGACCAGTTGGTTAGTTGTTACTGGAGTCCAAAAATTTCCCTACTACCAAGTTTCCCTTACATGTTCCTTATAACCATTGTTGAATTAACTCTTCTTCACCGCCCCGTGAGATTATTCTAACTCGAGTGGCCGAGACGTGGTGCTTTTGCAACCCCTTTACTTTTCTCTGTAGCTAACAGCTTTTACTATGGAAGAAATTCTGTCACTTTGGCAGTCCTACTGTCGAGAGATCAAAGACCTAAGGCGGTTTTGGCTTCTAACTTCTGCTAGCAGACGTTTAGGCACGTGCTCTGTTTAGCTTAAGAATGCATTAGAATGTTATCCTTACACTTAGGCGAATCACTTTTAAATTTTCGTTATACTCCTGCATTGATGCCCTGACGTGATCAAGTCACCCGCAAACTTAACTCTTCTCATCAACACCACCTGCTCGCTTCCTCCACCCCTCTCACCCTTTCCTTCATCCACTTTTTACGTTCTTGCGTTAATGCCAGTTCTCCCTCTGCTATG